CGGGGGGGGGGGGGGGGGAAGTATATCCAATTACAGAGAAAGTCAATAAAGTAACATTTCATTAAACAAACAATGCACTAAAAAGCAGCAGCCAGCCGGGTATACTTAGTCTAATTACACCGCTCCCCGCCGCTGCTTACCATTATCATTAATGAAAAGCTTTTAGCCCACTAGGCAGGCAGAGTACATTATATTCCGGGTTCTTTTTTTTTACTCCGGCTGCCTGTTTATGTGCGCTGGATGAGGGGTGTGTGCAGGAGGGGGCCCTCATCCGCATTACGGACCTTTTAGTGTCACCGCCTCGGCCCGGGTAGGGGCGGCCAAAAGACTGATTGCCGTTAAAAGTGCAGCGTGTAAATGGCGAAGTGCGAAGAGCGACATTAATCAGGAAACGGTGATATTTAACATCGTTACTGTAACAATAATGTCATGCTGATATCTGTGTTCAGTGAATTTCATCTCCGGATCCTTCTCATTATACATCGGGCTCGATTCACGAAGGAGAAGGATCTTTATGAGTGGAATTGCCAAAACTTATTTGGCTCGGGCAAAAATATCGATCATTAAAAACCCCCCAAAAAACGAAATATTCTTACCCTGGCGTTTTATTTATTTATTTTGCTGTGTAAAAGTGTAACTCCACTCTGACTGCCTTTAGGCGATCCCTTAAGACTCATTTCTTGAGTCTCGGGGAAGCTTATGCCACCGCAACCTAACCACTGAACCATCTTGTTCTCAAACAATTCATCCCCTTACAGCTACCTCCTCATGTATCACTGGCCCCTCCCTTTTCGATTGTAAGCCCTCATGGGCAGGGCCCTCCTTATCATCTTGTCTTGAATTGTATTGCGATTATAATGTCTTCCTCATATTGTAAAGCGCTGCGCAAACTGTTGGCGCTCTATAAATACTATATATAATATATAAATCCCTTTAACCCTCACTGCCAAGGCGTTTTTTTGCACATGTTATAATCCACAGAGTTATGTGTTACACGTTATAATCCCTGAGAGTTATATATTTCCGAAAGCACAGACCCTGTAGAATAAAATGGCGGCAGTTGCATATTGCAGGATATTAGCGCAACTTTTTATCAAACCCAAAATTCCAGTAAAAATTACAATAAAGTTAGTTTTAGTGCACAAAAAACACAATATAATAACAACTTTTTGTAAAATATAAATGACGAGGTGGCGCCGAGTAAATAGATACCCAACATGACAAGCTTAGAAATTGTTGCGCCCATGAAACAGCGACAAAATGTGGTACCCCGAATTGTCCATAGGTGACGCTGTAAAGGCCCGTACAGGTCATTAGTTTAGAGATAACCAGGGAGATATGGCATACGTGGGTTAAAGAATAGTTAGAGGTTGAGTCTGGTGGGCCCTTTCCTAGGCATACAGCTTGGCCAGGAAAGGGGGATCAATACGCTTGCACCTACCCCCTCCCAAACCATACCAGGCTACATGCCCTCAGCATTTGGAGGGTACTATGCAAGGAGTAAGAAAAAGCAAAGTCCCCCTTTCCTTCCAAGGCGCCTTGTCCTCCTGCATCCTGTCCCCAAAAAGAGTGGGG